TAAATGTGCTATGTTACACATTTGTAAGACTGAGACAACAATTAATGCAAGTGTCGCGTTTTCTTATATCAAGTGGGTTAATTTTTACAGTGAAATTCTCAAATTTTTATCACCTAAAATTTCACACTTAACTTTTCTGATAAATAACCCATTCCTCTTAAAAACAAAATAAAATCTTACGATAAATTCTGAATCATCTGTTTTAAAAACAGGTAATCCATTTTGTGCCACTTGAAATTCATCGACCAACAATTCATTTAAAGAAGTTAATACTAGTAAATTAATAGAATAAGTATTTTTTCCATCAGAAGAATTAATAGATTGTTGAACTGCTAAGTTAACTTCATTTTCTGTAGGACACAATGCGTTTTTCTGTAACATCAGTCTCTCAGTTGAATATAACTCGTGTGTATACACAAATTGTCTTTGTGCAATCAACGCCAACGAATAAATATGAAACCAATGAGAAGTTTTAGAATCCAATTCACATGCTTCTTTAGCATACTTTGATGCATTTTTAAAACATTCAAGACTTTTCCCATATTCAACTAATATAGCAGCTCTTATAGCATACACAGCAGCTTTGGATTTATTATCCATGTTGTCAAATGGAACGATTTCTTTAAGTAACTAAAAATAAATGTAAAATTTAAAAAAATCACTTTAAAAGARCAAATGCGATTATTATTATTTCATCTCATGTTGGCATATTAGCAAGTTTTTTTTCCAATTTGTTATGAATATATATCATTCTACATTTTTTATATAGCTATTTTGTCAATGTTAAAAATTAAACAATTAGGTAATTATAAAAATGCAATATTATATGGACATTTTGTATTATAATAAATGTAAATAACTAGTAAATCAAATCAGTTTTTTTTATAAAATAAAACTGATAAAAATTTTATGAATTCATTAAGTTTAAAAGTGGCAGTATTAATAGTTTCATCTAAACTATTTTATAATTTCTGTAACCAGTATAAAAACAAATTGTCACCTGAGTACCTCACCATTGGCGACCAATCAATTATTGTGTTTTACTGAATATTTTTTTTTATTTTACYACTTACATTTAAAAAATAACAATTTACCCATTTAAATCCTCCAGTTTCATTTGCAGCAAATAGCATATGAATAAAATTTGCCACTTTTATGTGTTTTAACGCGGACTTAATAGACAAGTAAAATTCATCAGTACCATTATCCAACTTTTCAAGCCAATTACCAACTTCCAAGATTTTTGTTTCGCTTTCATTTGGTTTACCAKTTTGAAATAATTCATAGCTAATGATTAAATTACCAATGAATCTAAAGAATAGAAGATACTTATCAAAAATTAAATAATACTTTGTCAAACATGGCTAAATGTATTATTAAACTAGGAACAATATTTTTTCTTTTGATTTACATACAAATATAATTAAATAAATTTATAGAACAAATTATTAAATATAAAATAATATTGAAGTTCAATTCATATAATTAGTAAGAAAATGTTAAATTAAAAATATTCATCATTTATTTGTCTTATCAA